ATAAATATCTAACTCCACCCTTCCACCAACTCACAAAGTGTCTCCTCCCCACCCACATTTCCTGGGAAGATAACAAAAGGCACACTGCGATGGCGACTAGTTTCCTCATCACACCGCCAAAGAGGCACACCAGGTGCCGCCTGACCAACGATAGTAGCACGCTTTATATTCAAGCCCTTAGTCGCAGCATCCGAAGATGTGATACCCCCTAAGAAGAAGGTTAGCACCAATAAACCCGTTAGAAACCGGGTAACAGTATAACATACCTTAGCAATAATAAACCGTGGCTGCACCTCAATCCGCTGCAAAACACCAACCAAAGCCTCAGCAACCACAGACCCAATCTTCAGCGACGACAACTCATCGTCACCAGTCACAAGCGCTCGACTCGTCATAACTAGCGTATCCATCCCAGCCCGTAGATGCGATTCCGTCTCCTGTACAACACGCAGCACAGCCCGCGTCGCTGTCTCCGGTGACGCAATAAGTTCCTCGACCTTCATTTCAATGATCGCCAACTGACCCGATGCGCCGCGCCGATCTGTCAACACTTTCAGCTGCGCTGTGGTTTTAGGAACGTACGACCCGGCAATGATAAGCCCACCTGTCTGGCGCAGCGAGGGAAGGTGAAGCTCGGCAGCGGAGATAGGTGCTTTAGAACGGATACCAAGTCTAGTTGAGACGAAGGCCGCGCCAGTGCGGTATAGGAAGTGTTTGCCATTAGATTCCGCTGGGTGTGTGTTAGCCATCCAGTTTACATAGTCAAAGGAGTAGCGCAAAACTCTGGCATACCAAGTAGCAATCCCGCCACGAAGACATGCATGTCAGACTCCGCGGCTGCATTGACGATCACCACTCCACCAGCTGGTGCAGCGAGTAGTTTCTTGCACACAGCCTGCGGCCCGCCGGTGCGGATCTCTTCGATTGTAACAGAACATAATTGATCTGCGTTGAACCGACCGGGCGCCTTTTCGAGGGCGTAATCCCGCAGATTGGAACTTCTGTATCCGAACGTTGCGTCCTTGGCGAACTGTGTCGCACCCGCCGGGACGAGGCTATCGCCCTCGGTGACATAGTGCACATCGTTGATGGTAAGTCTCCCACCCTGGAAGAAGAACGGGGCGAGAACAGTTGCATCTGCAGGTCCAAAGACTGACTGCGCGACGTCTGTTTCGAGGGGGAAGTGGCCGCGTAAGGTGCTATCCCCGCGGAGGACGATGTCAACCTTTTGGTTTGTTGTTTTGGCAACTTGGGCGATGTTTGTGCAGATCTCGTGGATGAGTGTTTCTGCTTCTTTTGGTGGGAGGGCACGGGAGTTTGTGAGGATGAAGAAGCCTGGCTTTGTGGATTGGAATTCGGCTGTTAGCGTTGGGATGTCCCAGACTGTTAGCACAGAGATGTCGTGGCAGGTTTGTGTCCCGGTTGGGTCGTCATCTAGCACCACTAGCCGGTTGATTGGGGCTGTGGTGAGGATTTGGGTGATTTGCTCTTGCGCGTCGGTGGGATACTCTGCGGGGAGGTTGGCGAGGGTTTTCTCGCGGGAGAGGACGGGGTACTCGGTCTGCGACATGGTGAGGAATCGAATTGTTTTCCCTATTCTTATGCTATTTGTTAATTGATTTGTTAATTGAGTCTGGGTTCCGAAGGTTGTATTTAAAGTAGGCGAAGTGCTAAAGATCAACAAGCGGGGGAGATGTGGGGAGCTCTCGGAGACAAGGCCGAAAATGCGTAGATTCGATGCAACTATGGACTAGATAGAATCAGACATGTTTTCCTCACAGGAACAAGAAACACCATAAACGCCATTGGAGAGATGCAAGAATGAAGGGCGTTTGAATGCTTGCAAGCGTAGAAAGCCATGCAACGGTCATTATGCATGTAGCCGATTTCAGAGTCCAGTATCCCCTCCCATATTCCTTCCCATCCCATGCATCAAAGAAAGTAAACAAATATGACAGGTCGTAGACTGCGTGATTGATTGTATTGGGTATTTAGCCCACCACACTGCGGAAACTCAATGCTTCGAGGAAGCCGCCAAGGTCATCCTTTTGGACCTCGACAACACAATGTTCGAAGCTGTCGATGCGCACACGGGCATTCGTCTCCTGGACTACCTCTTGGAAGGCAATACCAAATCGGTTGCGGAGAAGGTGCTTCTTTCCACGCGGATCTTCCTCGTCCTCGGACTCCGATTCCGATGAGGACTCTGACTCTTCCGACTCTTCGTCTTCGGCGCCAGTCTCCTCTTCTCGTTCGGCACGCTCTGCTGCTCGCTTGGACCGGCGCTCTGATCGCTCTTTCTGTTTCTTCTCCTTAAGTTCTTTCTTCTTCTTGCGTTCCTCCTGGCGTTTGGACATAGCGGCGAAGTCAACAACACCGCCACCGCCACCAGTGCCGACGACAACATAGAGATCGCGGTCTTCATCGAGGCCAGCAAGTACGAGAGGAGTTCCTGCTGCTCTCTTGCGACCGATCTTGACTGAATCACCCCGCTCTTTCTCTTGAACTCGAATAGCCTCGGCGATCCACAGGGCTAATTTCGTCAAGGCCCCAGGGTTTGTGAAGAGTTTGACGTCAGGCCCATCCTTGACCACAGCAATACGGAATGCTCGAAGGTGACGGATCTGATGCTTAGAGAGCAAAGAGGTACCGGTGCGAAGGATAGCACGGTGTAGATGCTGGGCTAGGGGCAGAGCCTCTAGCAGAATCGTGGGCGATTCGGAAGTTAATGAAAGGGCGTCGTACGCACTCCAGAACCGAGGTAGCAGACTAGCCAAGTCAGATTCGCCTGTGATTCCACTGTTCTCTGTATCATCGTGGGCTCGTGGCAGACGTTTGGAGTCCCAAGAAGCTAAAGTCTCGTGTGGCCCAACTTCCAGCATTGCACCAACGATAACACCTACGTCTGTGGCAGAGAGGCACGCCTTCCAACCCCAGCAACGCACAAATCCCCAGCCCTCACGGGCACTCGCGCTCGAAGATCCCTCTGATGGCACAAGTCCATCTAGGCCATACATAGGGGCGTACTTGAGCAGCCGTGATCGTAGTACACGCTTCAATTCCATATCCATGTGGGTGTAGTACTGGTGACACTGTGTCAGACTAATTCCCATCTTGGCCAAAAGTTTGTGCAGTCGTTTGCGGCCATTCTCAGTCCAGACATGCAGCCGCGGTGCAAGGTAAGGACTGTGGAGCATACTCTCGTATAATGACCAGTGCCGGACAAGAAGGAATCGCGGCTCGGGAGAAAGACGAATCGATGTATCGGTGGGCGATCTAGCGGTCGTTGGAATGACACCGTTGATTTCTCCTCGGATGTCACGATTTGATTCTAGAGGATCGGGCGGGTTCAAACGATGGACCTCATCGCGAAGTATTTGGCGAATGTGTTCGCCACGTTGGCCACCCCAGCCTGCTGAGCCCCCAGATTCTGATGTATTTGAAATACCCACTCCGGTCATTGTTCGACCACTGAGTTCCAGACTGGAGACACCGACAATAGCAAGCCACAGCAGGTCATTGTCATCTCGTCCAAGCTCAGATGCCAGGGAGTAGATCAGTGACGAAATAGGTTCGGAGTATGAGGTTCCAGACGAATAGTACGATTGTAGAACAGAGTCGTGTCTTCGCTTGAGATTAATTAATCGTTTCTTTAATGACCGGGCTGACGGTTGCTTTGCTTCAGCAGGGGAGGGCGAGTCAGTTGTCGGTGTTGCGGATCGCGACGAGTTCGAAGAATTGATTCCAGTCTTTTTGCGGCGAGTCGGAGTTGAGGCGATAGAGGAGCCCTGTATCACGCGTTAGTCGATTGTCTGGTCAGAGAAATACCAAAACCCACTGAATTGCTTCTCCTCCGTTGGTGGGGTGGCTCATCGCCTTCTGAATCCTCATCGTCTTCGCGACCTGACCAGGATTTGCGCTTTTTCGACCCTGTTTGCATTTCGTCTTCAGATCCGTCGTCACTCGCGTCATCGTCGTCATCGTCTACCTCTGGCATTTCCAGTAACGCGTAGTATGCCTCTCGTTCGTTGCGAAGGTCTTCCTCAATGTCTCCGTCGTCATACACGATGATTCCGCCATTCTTCGACGTGTAAGCGGAAGTGATGCACCCTTTGTCAACCCCGCGTCCTCGCTGTCGCGCATTGACGTCAATTTCAGCCATGGGCTGGCCCATCCCTGCTAGTCCACCAAAGACGTTCCCCAGGTTCCACGGCCGTCGCGCGTCAAATACCCAGATCTCCACGCCTCCCATATCTTCTACCTCGTCCTCGGGATTGCTCAATGCAAGTATCTCGCCGAGATCGACCAAACCACCTACACCGAGACAGATGACAACTCCTCCGCTGCCGCCATTGGTGGTCTGCATTGGGCGGACCAGCTCCTCCCCCGCGCGCGACAGGTCGCCATACCCTGCAACTGGTTGGATTTTATGAGGGATATAGTCGCGTTTTAACAGAGCTGTTAGAATTCGACAGGCACATAGCGCGTCTGGTTCTAATGCCACGAGAATCAAGACGGGCGGAGAAAGTGGGTGGTGAGATCGGAGGAGTTGTAGGTAAAGATGTGAGATGAGCTGCCGAGGGAGATACATGGCCAGCTTGGGATTGTCATATGCTCATGCGACAGCTCATGAAGAAAGGGAACTCGTAAGAATAAACCTAGGAATATGAGGTGGTTATTTGGTGTGAAGCCCTTGCAGCAAAGAGTCTCCCATAGCGCCGGGGAAGTGGACAAGCGCGACGCGTCGGGCACGTGCCGGGATTCCATACCTCTTCATCACCTTGACGATAATTGCTCCCCTTCTTTTAATTTACTGGAATATTTCACTAATTGCATGTCTTACTCTTTAACTCCTTGAATTAAATCTGGATATAGATCTTCCCAAAATATGGGTTGGTTCATCTTATTGCCTAACGCAAATTGGGTGCTTTACGCGAAATCCCTCCTATACTCTAAATTGAGTGTTTCCACGCGCAAATCCTTTGTTCGAATCATATTTTCTACCAACCACGCAGTCTCTTGTAAAGCAAATCAAGTTCTTTCACGTTCTCGGCTGGCAAAGGCCCTTTGGCGATATTCTTAATATGCTGGGCGAGCTCAGGCGCTGAGCTGGCTTCCAGAATCACACCATCTCCTTTCTGCATCTTCGAATGGTAATAGATCCACCGCAGGCAGGCTTCGGGTTCTGAAAGCTGGAATTTTTTAATGGTTTCCCTGAAGTCCATAATACCGGCCTGCTTATTTGGGTTGTCGTACGTGCTGGTATGCCAAATGCCCTCGCTGCTCGTCCTTCGGCCAGTCATGAAACGTGAGAAAGTGCTACATGCTGTTAGCCAGTTCGGCCATGGCCTCAAATGGTGGCGAAACTATATACAAACCTGCAAGCATGGAATGCGATTCCATGCCGGCGAAGGAGCGGAAAAAGCTTTTCGTTCTCTCGACTGGCCAAATTATACCAACTCTGGTATACAGTTGGTTTGACATAGCCCTTATTCTTGCAGACGAGCATAAATGCTTTGAGGGCGCTCTCATTGAAATTACATAGGCCGAACTATGGGATGATCAGTATCATTTATTCCTTGTAAAGTGGTTGCTTGGGTTACCTTGTCGAATCGGCCCTCTGTATATTGCTCCTGCATTGCAGCAGCCTGTTCCCCGATTGGAGTACTTCGATCTTGATGGTGGAAATAAAGCACATGGATTTGGTTCGTATGAAGACGGCCCAGGCTCTCTTGGAGTGACTTTTTTATTGCCGGGCCTGTGAGGTTTCGGTCTCCTCTGGGAGCAGAGGAACTCACGGTGACTGGGCTTATCCTGGTATCGACCTTGAAGCCCTGCTCTGGCGTTTTCACTTCTCCCAACAACATCTCGGAGCAGCCCGGGCTAGCTCTTGGCCACAAGGCTGCAGTATCAATGCGGTGGATCCGCATTTCCTTGAGTTGATCTAGGACTTTCTGGACTTCGCCAGCGGTGGTCAAAGGGGTGCCAATCGAATAACCACTGAATATTATTTCTGGTAAAGACATGATGGCTAGGGCTGAGATACGTTCAAAGTTCCCAGAGAGTTCAAGTAGGATCAAAATGAAGAGAAGATGGATGATACTAAGAGAGAAAGCTAGGTCAACAACATGAGAAGGTGCCTGGCTATGTATAAGTCAGAGACGACTTCGTGTATGAGTAGTAGGTAACAAGGAATGAAGCTGTGCAGTGTCTATCAAGTCAAACCTTCCATGTGTTTCTGCATTGGTATAGTGTTCAACAACCTTTGAATTCAACATCTGAAAGTAATTATGCTGATATGCAACGCTACAGTCGTATTAAAACACTCCTACCTGAGTGGTCATATATAGAAGGAATTGCCATACTTTGATTGCATCTTTAGCAAGTTGATTGATTACTTTGGTTACATATACCAAAAGCATAGTTGTTTCCCTTGAAGTATTGGGCCAGAGGATATCTTTCAAATTCAATAATCACAGAGGTAACGCCTTTCGCCATGAACATGCTATATTCTCCAAAACTATCCCAGTGGAGACATTATGGCGATTCATTTATGAGTCCAGGAAAGAACTCAAGATCGCAGCCAAAAGAGATCTGATGTTTTCCTGCATAATATTAAACAGACGAGCGGCCCAAAATTGATCCAGCCACCCAGATAGCGGTGCATGCACCAACGACAGAGATGCCAACTAGTCGCTTGCCCCAGCTGCCGTCTTCCGCCATTTTGGTCGGCCCAACGGTATTCTTCAGCTTCAGATGTAAAGAAGATGAATGCAGGTCTTCGGTAACATTTCCAGCGGAATCACCTAATATGGCTGAGTATTCTTCGTCACGCTTTTGCCACTTCTCAACAAGTCGCGCAATCTCGGCCAAATCTTCCTTGAGAGAGCCAGGCTCAGTGGCGTTGGCATTTTCAACTTCCACGTTCTGGACATTGCCAAAGAAGTCAACCACAGTCCGCAGGCGACCTTCTTGCTCGCCTCCAGGGAACAAATCCCACCGGACACCCGGCTGAGAGTGAATCTTCGACTCGTCATAGGAATCGAACAGGTCTCCTAGGTTGAGTTTGGAAGTGACACTTGTGACTTGTGTCTCGAGGAATTCAAGAACATAGTATGTCCAGCGATCAATGACAGCGACGCCGACATCGTTGTCTGCGTGGTGGGAATAGGAAGACTGGTCGATCTCGCTGGAGCCTGTCGCCACGATGTTAGGCGAGTAGAAATGGGTATACATCGTATTGGCCTGGCAAGTATCGATCATGAACAGTAGCTCATGGTAGCGCTTCTTCTCCCACATCTGTCCAAACGCGTCCGCAAGATCCCACGCGCCGATCTCTTCGGCATCCTGGAACTTTAGGAATTGGTCGCCTCCATGTCCGGTCATGTACACTAGTACATTGCTGCCAGCATCGGATCCCAAGCGCTTACTGCGCGGTACGTCTTCGTCGAGGCGGTCGGTCAAGAGTCGGATGAAGTTCTCTACAGTCACTTCGTACCCCCTATAGTCCACTTCGATGTTGTCGCCGTATAGATCGACGGCACGGTCTGCGTTACTGTAAACTGTGCCAGGGAAAGCGTTTCGGGGGTTGCAAGCCATGTCATCGGGGAGCATGAGTATAATTTGTGAATCGGGAATGCCGAGCCTCTTGACGGTTCGGTATAAGGAGAGGACATTGGCGAGGTGGCGGTAGTTGAACCAGAAGCGAGAGGTAGATACAAGCACCGCCCAGTTAGAAGTATGTTCAGCGGCAACTGCGCTGGCAAGGAACAGCAAGGCGAACGCCTGGAGAAAGCGGAATAGCAAAGCCATTGTGATGGACGATCAGGTCATACTAGGGAGGAGGAACACAGCTTGTATCACTAGCCGGTAAATGTGAAATTGACGACAAAGCATAAATCAAATCAAAGGCCACATATATCAATCACAATTGCCATATGAAAGCCATAGCACAAATGGCCGGAAGAAGACAGACAGCTTCAAGAAGCTACCCAGGTCAGATAGGAGATTACAAATGTCGGGGAGCATTTAATGCCACTTTTCTAAGGCACGAATACTGACGCATGGGCTGTGGATAGCGTCACCGCCTTTGTCGGAGTCGGCATATTGGTCCCGCAGATCAGATCATGTAGTAGAAACTCGATTCCACCTTTTTCTTTTCACATCCATTCCTCACATTCTGTCCAGTGGTTAGTTTGGACATCATATTCCATCATGGCAGGCAAGAAAGGAGCAGGCGAGAACAGCAAGAAGGCCGCCGGAAACGCTCGTGTATGTTTTTTTTTTAAAAACCCCGCCCCCGCTATTATTGCCACATCCCTCAAGCATAAGATCATTTGAATAAAAACTGACAGCGCTGTATAGAAAGCGGACGCCGCGGCATCGAAGAAGGCAGCTGAGGACCAGAAGAAGGCTGCGGAGGAAGAAAAGCAATGGTCTAAGGGATCCAAGAGCAATGCTAAGAAGTAAATCAAGCTCCCAAAGGAAGCATATCCCCGAGTATTAAGCTAATCACCTTCAATCTACAGGGAAGACTCCGAAGCCAAGAAAGCCGAGGCTGCCCGCAAGAAGGCCGAGCGCGATGCCCTACTCGCCGAGGAAGAAGCTTCTCAACCAGCCAAAGCCAAAGGCGCAAACGCCAAGACCGCACAAAAGAAGACTCGCGGCCTCGATCTTTCACAGTTGGACGATACTCCTGCAGGCAGGAAGAAGGAATCTGCTCTCAGCGCTACTGGTATCGACAACGCCCTAGATGCCCTGTCTCTGGCTTCGAAGGACACATCCAAGATCGACCGACACCCCGAGCGCCGATTCAAGGCCGCATATGCCGCATTTGAGGAGAGACGCTTGCCAGAGATTGAGCAGGAAAACCCTGGTCTGCGCCGGAACCAGCGTATGGATCTCTGCCGGAAGGAATTCGAGAAGAGCGAAGAGAACCCATTCAACCAGGTGCACGCGGCTGTCAATGCTACCAAGGAAGAGGTTGCCGCGCTTCGGGAAAGCGAGCGCAAGAAGCTCGAAGGCAGACTTGGCGGCAAATAGATTGGCCTGCCGCTGGATCACAAGCATTTAGACGCATGGGTTATTGGGAAGTCGTGAACAATATCTTGATATTGTCGCACTGACCAAGTGCCCTAAGTCTTCATGCTCTCAAATACCCAACACGGATGGTGTTCTCAAGATTGTGAGCGTCTTATATTGATTCGGAGTCATTTTTGCACGGTTCGGGTATACCAGCCGTTTCCAAGTCATCGAGTCGCTACAGTCAAACAAAAGGCTCGAGCATCAAGCCCGGAGAATACACAACCGTGACGCATTTGTTCTTACATCGCACCATGCATTGTGTTTTCCGGCATATAAACTTACGAAATAAAATGATCAATATCCCTTTCAAGTTATGTAGTCTGCTCTGACAGCAGGCTATCTAGCAACCCGGAATCCTAAACAAACACCTCTAACAAGCTCCTACCTACATATCGTCATAGCTCTGTTGCGTCCGGAAAAATCGATAAGTCTCTGGGCCCTGCCAGAGCCATATATAATTGGTTGATATTCACATATCCTATGACATCGTAGCTCGCACATCCCACACATATAGATTTTCATCCCAGCCAACACTAGCACACCAGCCCTCACTTCCAAATAGACACCAGTCCACACCCGTCACAAACTCAGTGTGGTTATTCATGCGCCCTAGTTCTGCGCCAACCACTGGACCAGCGCGCATCATATCCATATCCCCACCCGGGCCTGCGTCAGACCGGTCACTCCACACCCGACAAGTCATATCGTAGCTTGCACTCAAAAGAACATTAGAAAGATGCGGCGACCAAGCCACTTTTCGCACAGCATATTCATGTCCGAGCATAGTTGCCAGCGGCCCTTGTTGCGGGGCCCGGATGTCAAACGTCCGAATAGCACGATCAACACCCGCCGTAGCTAGAACAGTGGGTCGGTACTTGTTCCAGTCGTGGGTGAGGGCCTCGGCAGGCGGGGCAGGGCCGCCGGGCTGGCCGGGGATTGCAGGCGCGGGGGGGCCGGCGTGGATGGGGATCTGGGTGACGAGGTGGTTGGAAGCGGAGGCCGGAGTGCGGAGATCGAAAACGCGCACGTATGAGTCTGATGTCACACACGAGATGATGTCTGGGCTGTGTGGACAGAAGGATGCGGAGTAGGTGCAACTATGGGTTGGGAGGGTGAGGAGGGACTGCGGGCGATGTGGCGACCAGATGCGGACTGTACCGTCCCAGCTACTTGAGCAGAAACGGTCTTTTGCAACTGGGTTCCAGCTTACGCTGAATACTTCCCGCGCGTGTTCTTTCCAGTTTGAGATTGGGAAGTCGTTCGCTGTGCAGTCGAATAGCTTGATGCTGCCGTCGCCTGATGCGGCGAGGACCTGGTTCTCGTGGATTTCGGACCATGCGAGGTCATATAATGAGTCTTGTGTTGTGAACCTGAAGGGTGTGATGGCGCCAACTGGTTAGAGCTCTGTTCTTAATTTCCAACTCTGTTGCGCACTCCGTCGCGGGGTTTGCGAATATCCCACTTACCACTTTAGCGGTTGGATTCCATTCGCAGTCAACTCCAAGATATGCAGGCGACCATTGCCGACTAGGCCAAAATTTGACGAGCTTGCAACAGCTAGCCGATTGTCAAAGAATGGAGAGTATTTGACCGCGCAACCGTTATATCCTTGTGTGCGGTAATGGAGCATGATGGGCAACTGATCGGCCTCGGTCGCTCGAGGGATGAGGTAGGAAAGGGAAAGAGAAAGGGGAATGTGATCTTCACGCGAACTAGGGTATCAAAATGATAAACGTCAACGGTCATGAAGATGTTAAGTTCTTCGGCGTATGATCTCGGGATTGCGGGGATCAAATGGGCCGAGGTCCTTCCTTGGCTTTCAGGCACGGCCTTTTTCTATACTTTCACATTCGCTTTTTTGTTGATTTATTAATATCTACATTTCGATATTGAAATTGAATCAGTTTAATTGGTTCCTGGTTATCTTATTTTCTCTTCTTACATGGTATGGTGACTTGATCTCAAGCTTTTCTCACGTTTTCAGTGGTCAGCTTACCAGAATATCCATCAATACACCATATGTTTACATGTGCTACCTATATTTTCAGACTCTATTTCTCAAATGGTGCTACTTAGATTGAATACAAATAAGGTAAAGCTACTCTCATAAGATAGATCAATGGCGAAGGTGGAGTATATTGTGGTGCTCGTGGTCATTGACGTCAACGGGCTATATCCCACGCATCCAGCCCTAATTGCAACAGTAATAAGGAACCATTCTAGACCCTCAATTTCCCATTCAATAACATAGATTCAAGCCAATCATGTTAAATAGGTACAAGTTGAGCCACCCTAGAACATTTTGCCTCATCCCCTGCAAAGTATGGGAATGACGCCATGATTGGCCTCTTCTGAAATCTGCTTCTTAGTCTGCTCGATTTATTTTCAATCGAATTGAGACTATTCTTAACATGCCTACCAACTGATATGATAAGCTCAAGGCAATATAATACCCAAATCGCACCCATATTGGGAGGCGACAACCCAATGCCAGTACCAAAGCACTACACATCCCCGGCCAGTGTATTCCTCAAAGACGAAGTATACCGACTCGGCGCAGTTCCAGGGCTGAGATCCCTACCTCCAGGCCCAGAGCGCGACTTCCTCACCCTGTCATGGGGACCCATCGTCTACCGCACCTCGTACGCCCCCGAAACCAAACGTCTCCTCCCCGTATTCCTGCGCTGCCTCAACAATTCCGTGCAACAGTCGTTGCGCCGGACGTTACCAGGCTCCGATGATGAAATTCAAATTCTCACAAACACATATTATTGCAAGGTTTTCAACTCACTTGACATGTACGCCAATATGGACGAGGAAAGGGTCCGACAAGTCTTTCATGATTTCAAGGTGTCGCTTGGGATACCTGAAATAGAGCTCCCGAGTAGACTGCGCATATGTCTGATGCTAGATGACGAAGCATTATCGCACTTGAAATATGTTTTAGATTCTTCTTCGATGGCTGAGACCGATGCAGATGTGGGTGGATGCTGGGTGAAGGTTATTGAGGAGAATTTCCCGGATTCAAGGATTGGTGATCACCCGCTTGCGAACCCCGATACGGAATGTGTATCTGATTCTGTTGGAGAAGATCGTGGGATTTATTCTGGGTGGACGATGGTGGCACTCGATGCATTAGTAGAGGTCTTTGATGGACTTCGGCAGATGAAATGTTTGGTCGACTATCATCGGGAAGAAAAGGTATACTTGGGAGAGGGCAAATGGAGCCTTTAGTCTATATTTAATATCTTACGTTGGGCTTTTGAATCGTTGTTAAAGAATGTACACGATGTCTTCAGAGCTAATTGATCACTTTTTATAGGGTCATAAGCAAGATAAAAGCAATAGAGTAACATATATTGTACTATTCAATACCTAACAACCATTTGAAACCAGAGACCATGTCCCGATTGAATTCCTTCGTTACTTTTAAGTCGGTGAATGATTGAAACGCATGAGGCACCCCTGGGTAAATGTCTAGTTTGGTCCTGATATTATACTCTTCCCTCAACATTCGTTCGTAAATGAGTCCATCGTCACGTAGTGGATCTAGCCCGCAGACTTGAAAGTAGGTTGGTGGGAGGCCAGCGTGGCCGCTTGGCCAAAGGAGAGGGGAATAAAGCGGGCTCAAAGGGTCGGGCATATAGGCCGACACAAGAGCTGCGATTTCTTTTTGGCATAGGATAGGCGCATTTTTGTTCTCTTCGTAGCTAAGGTAGCCTTTGACAAATCGTTCGGGGACAGCATCTGGATGCACAACAATCGGAAGGCCAAGGTAGACACCTGTTAGCGGGATATCCTTAGACTCCCGAGCTAGCAGACTCAGGACAGCGGCAATGTTTCCTCCTGCACTGCTCCCGCTCAAGATGAAGCCGGCCCCTATGTTCAATTGAAGACGGTCGCGATTGGATGCAACCTTTGGAGTTTAGTATATGCTAAGAGATATGAAGGAGATGGCGGCACGTACCCATTGCAAACCGTCCCAACAATCATGAATCGGGATAGGAAATGGATGCTCTGGTGCCAATCGATAGTTCAGGCTGACAATAACTGCATGCAATTCCACACAAAGTCTATAGCAATGGTCGTCATCATAACAAACATCCCCAAGACAAAAGCCACCACCATGATACCAGACAATTACGGGCTCGTCCCGTGTTGAACCGGGGGGACGATATATCCGTCCAGTGTTCATGTGGCTGTCTCGTACAGGTATTTGTATATCTTCAACACTACCGCTGAACATATTGCAGGAGAGCTTAGATTTGCGCATACCCTGCTCAGCTTTAGTTCGGAATTTGACAACATCAACAATGGATTCATCATCGTCCTCCCCTTGCTTCTGGAGTCTTAATAACTGCCCGGTAAGGTTAGATGGGGCACAACATATGGAAAACGGGAATAAATGCACTTACTTCCTCAAGTTCCGGATCCATCTGTTTGTGATGATCAATGCGGCGAGAATAGTAAAGAGATTGTGAACTAAGCTGTATCACCTAGAAGAGTTTCTGTCGAAAGATACACATGCACAATGAACAGACACAAACAAAGTTCTCTTGTACTATGCGCTCGGCCCTTGACGGTGGGCGACACTGCGGGGTTGAAGTCCATCAACCCCCAATTGTTAGCTATCGATGTGTCCAACCCATAATCCCGAACACTCTGGTAAGAGCGGTGTTCTCGGCTACTGATTGGTTCTTCGCCGCGTGCTTAGTGGGGTTGGCTAAGATGTAAGTTCCGGGGTAAAATGGGCTATTCATTGGCCAATTTTGCAAGATGTATACAGACTTTCCTACAACTTAGTGTTTTTATCATTACCTTGCTTCATACCAGACGACTGAGCTGCAATAGCTCGGGGCAACAACGTCCGGGGTAAGTGCTCGGATGAAAGGAAGCGTTTGAAATATCGAAGTATATAATTAGCTCCCTGCATTTAATAGTCTCACCACATACCACCACGATCTGGTTTTGGTGGCATTATTCTGCTAACAACCACTTTTATACAAACTTCTGTCATCACGGAAATTCAGAATGGCTGATCGGAAAGATGCTGCAGAGGCTGCAGAGGCTACCCACATCGAAGGGACTACAAACGAGAGTTCGGCCCTGAACCAAAACGCTCTGAAAATTTTATGGACGAATCCTACAATACTCTTTGCTAGTTTGTTTGCCAACCTGGGTTCATTTATGTATGGTTTTGATAACACAATCCTGGCCATGGCTCTACCAATGGTTCCCTTTGAGTAAGTTCATGACTATTTCCCCGCAGAAAGCAATGAGACTGATAGAATGCTTACCCTGCCATACAGAAAGCAGTTTGGTACATCTTATTCAACATCCGCTGGAACAAGCTATATCATTCCGGCACACTGGCAGTCTCTATGGAATGCACTCGCTCAGGTAGCCACAGGCCTCGGCTCTTTTTTGGTCGCCTTGATTTCAGACTCATACGGAAGGCGGATGTCATTTTTCGTTGCAGGAATTATATCCGCTGCCGGAATTGCTGTTCTCTACGTGTCGGCCCATCCAGCAGTCTTCTTGGTGGGCAAGATTATCAATGGAGTTGCTTTGGGTATGGCCATAGCCGCTGGGCAGACGTACGTGGCAGAGGTCTCGCCAATGAAATGTCGAGGAATTTTACTTTCTATCTATATTTTCTCCTTGGTGAGTTCATCTGTCATGCGAGAATGATTGAAAATACTTACATACCTTGTCTACATAGTATCTGGGTTCGTTAATCGGCTCTATAATTGCCAACTCTCGTGTGAACATAGAGTCTGATGCAGGCTATAAAGTAATGTTCTCAATCGGGTTCATCTGGGCCGGTCTCCTAGTTTTGTTTGCTTGGGTCGTTCCAGAGAGTCCGATTCATTGGATCCGCAAAGAGAAAGTCGACAAAGCCCGCAAGGCATTTCAGCAACTATATACTGAACGTGCAGACATTGCGTCGATCTTGGATGAGGCAATCCAGACAAACAATGAGGAACAAGAAATGAGAAGCACCACCAGAGAGGTGGGATACATTGACTGCTTCCGGGGTACAAATTGGCGTAGGACAAGGATTGTGCTGTACTGCAATGGTGTTAACCAATTGCTTGGTTCTACTTTCGCTGGAAATGGCCCTTATTTTCTGGTCAACGCAGGCATGACATCAAAGAACGCCACATTGGTATCTGAGATTGGTGGAGCCTTGAACTGCGTATCCATGCTCGTTGTTTTCTATTTGTTGACGCAGTTCACTCGCCGGAGCATTATTCTATGGGGTGTCAGTCTTTGTGCGGTCATGTTCCTCCCTATGGGTATCGCGGGCTGCTTTCCGTCCAGCAGCGCCGCACTGTGGACGATCGGAATCCTCATGCAGGCTGTCACTGTGCTTGGATTTGCGCCGAGTATTGGGCCTGCAGCAGCTGTTGCAGCTGAAATCCCCCAATTACGCTTAAAGTCTAAATCGCAATCGATCGGATTTTTATTCAATTTTCTGTTTTCCACCATCTGGAACGCCTTCGTCCCATACCTTTTCAATGCTGACGAAGCAAATCTCGGAGGCAAAATGGGTTTCATCTTCTTTGCTACGGCTGTGTTTTCCTTTGCGATTCTTTGGTATGAGCTTCCCGAAACTAAAGACATAACCTACAGCCAGCTTGACCATCTGTTTCATAATCGGGTTCCTGCACGCCAATTCCGGTCTGCTGCCACTGAAATTGAAGCTTTCAGTAACAACAAAGCTTGAATTTAGTCATCCTTTTCCCAGCTTGGGGTGGATAGCCCGTTGAAGATTCAAAGTCTGATATGCGTGAATATTACTAAAAGCGAAGGTCCTTAGGAAATATCATACTCGCTTGTATTTTTTTGATCAAATGGACTATACCGGCGTATTCTGTACAAGACCTCCCTCGAGCTGGATACTGGAGTGAAGCTTGACTAAATTCCTTTCGTGGATGGAGCTTTAAACATTTTCCGCAATTTTTCCGGCGGCGATTTTCAAGTCGAAGAAGAAGTTAGTTCAGTGGTACATTTGTACACACAAAATAGGGATTCGGAGTTGTAAAAGTCGTGGGAAATCAAACTGCTTTTGTTTTAGTGTTGCGCGAAATATATCGTAAAGTCTTTTGCAGCTGAGAGATATACAGGCTTCATCAACCAAAGAAAGACGGTGGATATATTGCTTAGAACGCTGCCTTCCAGAAAAATTATCGTGGTACGTTTTCTTTTGATTCGGGAGATGAAAGATGGGGTCAAAGGTATCCGGACCTTGCCACTTCTTTTCCTCGCTTGCTGCGTTTTCATTTTCTCTTTGCCAAGAGCAAGAGGCAAACTCCAACTCTGTCTGGATGGGGTTTTCTGGCCTTTTGATAAAGTAAGCTTCTCATTGTCGTCAAGACGAGACAGCTTGCTAGGCAGGTTCCGAGACTCCATCTTTGAACTTCAGTATGGTGGCATTCAAAAGGGTTGGGTTCCAGCTTGGGTGGGAATGCATCTGGGTATTGCACAGCTAACCTTTTTTTCAAGAATAAAAATGTAAAAGAGAATTACAGGGGAGGGGAGGGGTTTAAGTACTGAGCTCAAGAGTTGTCCCATATCTTCATATAATTTTATCTTTTTCAGGGCCGATGTCCAATTTGTCTATGGAGGCCAATAACGAGATCCCATAATTTTCAGGAACACTCATTTATGCATCTTCTGTTACTGATATATGAGTCTTATAGTTCGGTGTCCACATGGTCGGTTGGGTATGTACCTAGGACTATTCTTAAGGTGTTTATTTGTAAGTGAGGGATGTTTCGGGGTCGCAAGTTACTAATTGCAGTGTTATTTCTATGCCATATATAGGATATAGCCTAGTATTAGTACTGGAAGGTGAAGATGTAATAGCCTCATTCCATAGGCCTGAATCTATCAACTCGCAATCTGATTGGTTACTTCGACAGCAATCATGTGCCGATAAGCATTTTATCCCGGGCTTATCAATCACCTCAAACATGAGGTCCCGAGCCCCATTCATCACTTTTCAGAGTTTCCAAAGAATGGATTTGAAAAATGGATGCTTTCATATCCAGGAAGCGCCCGCGGCTCTTGAGCCCAAGCGAGGAGACCAAGCACGACTCACCAGATCCCTGCGAAGACTCAACTGATACGAAGCTAGCAATACTCCTATCTCTCTTCCCGACTATCAAACAGGATGAGTTATTGGATATACTCGTATCCTGCGAAGGGTCTGTGGAAAGTGTTACGGAACTCCTCTCTGCAAAAAGCTCCACAGGATGCACACCCGTCAGCAAAAAGCGAGCTGCTGTTACCTCAACACCTGGCATGCAGACATCTCTCTCATCACATGTTTTTACAACAGCTCAAGATGGGAGCATGAAACCTTTGCATGAAATTGCGAGCAAGAAAAAGCTTCCGCATCCACAAAAAGGTAAAACGTTACACCTTTACTCGCCTGAGGATATTGCCACCTACACACCTTGTACTATCATCCACAACTTCCTACCAGCTAAAGAAGCAAACGCACTTCTGCTTGAATTGCTTGATGAATCGAAACACTTTTCTCGATATGACTTCCAAATCTTCAATCGCCCTGTCCAGAGTCCCCACACATACGCCGTGTACGTCTCTACGCCCGAGGAACACCGGCAACAGACCTCAGAATATATTTATGATGGCACATATCGGTCAAATGTACGCCAGGCAACACCGCAGATGCGGTCAGTATCACGTCAAGTACAGAAAATCGTCAACGATGAGATCAACAAACGAATTCGAGACGTCTATCCAGACGGGAAGAAGTTGCAATACCAGTCACCAAAGGAGTGGCGCCCCAACGCAGCGTTTGTCAACTGCTACGACGGGCCGACCGAAAGCGTGGGATATCACTCCGATAAACTCACATATCTTGGACCACACCCGGTTATAGGAAGCTTAAGCTTGGGCGTGACACGTGAATTCCGAGTCCGTCGAGTAGTACCTCGAGACGACGACGAGGCTGCCGAAGAAGATCATGCCAATAAGTCTAGTCCAGTTTCAAATTCTGCGCAGAACCAGACTGTATCAGCCGCACGCGCTGATGCCCAAGGTCAAATCTCAATCCATCTTCCACACAATTCTCTCCTTATTATGCACGCAGAGATGCAAGAGGAGTGGAAACACTCTATTGCCCCGGCTCAGACCATTTCCCCACATCCGATCTCTGGGAATAGACGTATCAATATCACATACCGTTGGTATCGTGATACGTTACACCCACGCTACACCCCGCGTTGCAAGTGTGGCGAACACACGATTCTTCGGTGTGCACAGCGCAAGCATGAGACACGAGGAAGATACATGTGGATGTGCCACGCTGGATATGCACCGGGAAAGGAAGGGTGTTCATTCTTCCAGTGGGCCGAGTTTGATGATGATGGGGATCCGGTATGGGGAAAGAATGTTACCCTGGACAATACCCCCAATTTGGCGAATTTCTCGGCATCGCAATAATAGGTCATGAGACTCATACATGGTAAAGACGTGGAATCATCCCGCTCTTAAAAAGTACTTTGTATATAACTGTGACACTTGACCTGTGAAGCTGAACTCCGCAAAATAAGGTTTGGAGACTGCGGCCCTCGGGCACATTCGGAAAGTGGACTTTGCATTCCGCGAAACTCCACTTTGAGGGGTCTTCAGCCGTCTTGACACTCTATTTGGGCCAATTACATACCCATGTATACTGCTAGCCTTTCACAGGATCTCGCCTCTAATATATATGAATGGGCCTGTCTCCAATCAATGTGTACAGAAGTAGGCAGGATTGCCCTAACCCCTCAATATGAAAAATATTGAATGCGGAATGCACCCCCGCTCCGCGCCGCTGTTTCCAATGTGCGGTGTAAAAAGCTGAGATCCAAATTCATCCCTTTGGTGATCTTCCATTTGCCATCTTTATGCAATCGTAATTTGCAATCTACACCATGGCTTTTGGAATCAAGGATACCTATGATTATATTGTCTGCGGGTAAGATACCTACCCATGGAAGTCTGTGATCTTACTAACACTGAATTAGAGGAGGAACCTCGGGCTGTGTGGTTGCTGGTCGACTAGCTGAAAACCCTGAGGTCAGCGTCTTGCTGCTGGAGGCTGGACAACACAATAAGGACTTGGAGAATGTTCACATGACCGGCGGGTGAGTTACAAAGGCTCATTGATGCACCCATTGTTACTGACAGGGCAGGTGGTCAAACAATTTCGATGCTGAGACCGACTGGAACTTCGTTACCCCTCCAATGGCGGGGGTGGACAACCGCCAAGTGAAGCTGAGCCGTGGCCGATTCCTTGGAGGATCCAGCGGGTGTAACGGCACACTTTGCATTCGTGGTAACAAGCAGGACTATGATGATTGGGGGCTAGAGGGGTGGAGTGGAGAAGAGTTCTTCAAGTATATGAGAAAGGTAGGTGGTAGTGGCGTGATTCTACGACACGCCCGTTTTGATATCGATACTCAAATAGATACTGACAACATAATTAGTCCGAGACCTTTCACCCAAAGGCATGGTTCCAAGCCGATAGAGAAAGCCACGGTCACTCTGGACCCCTTCACACAGAGCCACACGATCTGGCACCCATCTCCAATCTCCTAATGGACTCTTATGTCTCGCAAGGCATGCCCTTGCATCACGACATGTTCAGCACTGGCGATATTGCGCAAGGATGTGGCCATGTACCTCGCACCGTGTATCAGGGCCTGCGGACAACCGGCGCAGATTTCGTAACTAACAAGAACCACCGTGGAAATATCACCATCAAGACCGATACCACTGTCGACAAAATCATATTCAGCGAGCAGGCAAACTCGACTCGCGCTTCCGGCGTAGTCACGCAAACTTCGGATGGCAGCTCTACCATCTACTACGCTCGAAAAGAGATTATCATCTCCGCAGGCGCCTACTGCAGTCCCGCAATTCTCCTTCGGTCTGGTATTGGCCCCAAGGCCGAGCTAGCACAGCACAATATTCCCTCGTTGGTCGACCTGCCAGGCGTGGGCAAGAACCTCATGGACCATCTCGTTAGTAACCCCTACACAACCATCAATATCAAGATGAACCATCGTAACACTCACACCCTCTAGATCGTATTCATGTTCTACGAAACCGAAAAACAAGGCCTAACAAACGACCACCACGTATACCACGGCGACAACTTCGACCGAACCTACGCACAATGGAAAGAGAACAAAACAGGCTTCCTATCCACCTTCCCCTTCGGCAGCTTCGCCTTCGCACGTCTCGACGACAGACTGAAAGACGAACCACTCTGGAAGAACGCAGCCCGCAACCCAGGCCGTGACCCCATGGGCTTGACACCACAACAACCAAACATCGAGTTCTTCACCACAGAGTGCTACGGCGGTCCCAAGCAATACGACCAATTCCCGATTAACAACCAGTACGCATTTTCGATGATTGCAGAGCTGTTTGCGCCGAAGTCTCGTGGCACAGTGGTTCTCGAATCGGCGGATCCATCGGTGAACCCGATTGTTGATTGCAATTATTTGGCTGATCCGCTCGATCTGTTGGTTCTTAGTGAGGCTTGTCGGTTTGGGAACGAGGTTGTTATGAAGGGTGCTGGGACCAAGGATATTGTTAAGGGGTCTTGGCCGCCGAATCTGAATCATCATACTTATAAAACGAGGGAGGAGTGGGTTCCGTATGTGAAGCAGCATGCGACTACTTGTAAGTTGGGTTTTGAACTGT